GACGTTAAAATAGAGATTACGCTTTCTCTAGGCTTGAGATCGAATTCGTTGCCTCGTAGTGGCAGAACGTTGCCCCAGCAACCAGGTCTCAGGTCTGGACTTAGCACGGTAGCATCTGGGCTAATAGATCAGGAAGATAGTGACGGGGCACTGTCAGCGCCCGAACTACCTTCCATCAGACGCGATAGAGGTTAGTCTCACGTTCAAGTAGGACGAGCAGGATCCTTTGACATTTCGAACGTTAAAGTGGAAACTCTCTCTCTCTCTCTGTTCGATTGAAAATGACAGGGAGGATACCATCGTCACCCAGTGTGTTCACGTCGGACGAGTACCGAGCGTGGCTGAGCCGAACGCCCAGCACCAGCGCGTTGTACGAGCAGATTAGAGGCAGCACGGCCAGACCACCGCGTTACACTTACAGCGCAGAGAACATTCACGCAGCTGCGAATCAAGTAAGTAACGCAAATCAGTCGAAACGCTGTTCTTTGCCCGAGGTCAGAGTGTTTCTAAACACCGGCCGAATTTGTTGACGAATTTTAGGGCGAATACGGAAGCTACGGTGCGTACAGGCCGCTGTCCAGCACGTTGGATCGTTTATCAACGAGATCAGCTTCCGCGCAGCAAGTGAATCTTGCCAATCTGAGGGCATCGACAGCGGTCAGCTCGACGTGCCATCGTGGAACAGCGAACCCAAGACCGGCCTCGGTTGCGTCCAACGCTCGTACGTCCTTGACGAGCCAGAAGCCATCGTTGAGCAGCTCCGCCGCCACCCAGAGAGCGACGTCGGTGAGAAGGATCAGAAACCTGCTGGACCTGGAGTCCACGCGAAGCATACCTACCCCCACGCCTACCCGAACTCAGGATCAAAGACTGCTAGACATTAATCCTGCAGGTGATGCTCAGGTTTTAGGTATTGATGATCAACATCTATGTGGGATAGGGTTAATCAATCTGATTAATTATCTGCGACGTATTTTGCACAGAGTTCCTTAAGTATAAGATAGAGAAACCTCCGACTGTGGGAACTCCGAGTTCGACCAGCTCTCTCTTGAGCTCGCTCGGGGAAACCAGCAGTGGTGACCTGGCGGGTGGGGTCAGCGGACTGCTTTGGGTCCATCTTCTGGCAGGTCGTGGCCTTCGTTCAACGACGTCCTCCTCGGCGGCCACTACGCCCTCCACGCCATCAGGTCAGCCTAATTTAGGTACGTTCGGGAGTTTGCACATCCTCTAGGCCGTTTCTCCATTGCACAACCTGTCACGTATCTCTCTCTCTCTCTCTCTCT